AATCATGAACGAAGAGGTGAAGAAGGAAATTGAAAAGCAGGTGGTGAGAATTGAATTGAGTTACCATTAGGATCTGCGCCAATTGGATGATCATCGAGCGCCATGTTCATCGTCACATATCAATGAAAGCACAGCGATACATAGTCATATACATATACATTTAGAACAAGTAGAGAAGGAGGAAGAGGAAAGAGAAGTGAAAATGAAGAAGAAGAGGTCACCGTTCATCCAGTTTTGTGAAGGCTGGAAGTGAAATGCCGTCCGATGAGGGTGCTCCGACAGGGAAGGAAGAGGAGATTCCGACATAGCAGGATGGAGATATGGTCAAAGGCAAGCAGATTTCTTCTTTTCTATTGGTTAAGCACAGGTTAGTATACTATAAGTATATATATATATATATATATATATATATATATATAAGAATTAGAATTGGAATTTTGGCCAATTAATTGCTGATTATTCAACTTCCACAAAATAATATATAAAAAACATCGTCGTGATCCATGACGTGGATTAATTAGTAGTTAATTACAAAGACAAGGCACACCACACCTAATGTCTTTAAATGTATTTTTTTATAAAAATAGTCCTTTTAAATAAATATAAATACCGTATTTTATTGAAAATATAATTAATCATTAGTTTAAATAATGGATTGGCAGAGAGATTAATTATTAAAAGAAAATTTGTTTGCTATTTATTTTTAAAACTAATAGATGTTGATTAAACTAGGATTTAAATTAGCAATTACGGATATTACTATTATATATTGTTTTATTTATTCCATGTGAGGGACATTTTAGTCATTTATCGTACAAATTAGGATATTGTTCAAAACATTTATTTAATAATTAGTTGTGTATCCGTGCAATCTGACGAGAGCCATGAATTTTAACGATTTTGAAGTTCCACTGATTTTGTAAGATAAGATTTAACGATTATATAAGTTATACTTGGTCTTTACATATTAATACAATTTGAATAAATAAGAGTTATGGTTCCAATTACAGACTATCGATGAAAAAAATTGTATGACARTTTAAAATCCAATATATTTAAAATCCAACATATTTAAACGACTCCACAAAGGCGTTCGATTTGCATCAAGATCAAAGAACCAAGAAACTTGAGTTTTAAGATAAACACTCAAAACCAATAAAAAAAACTACAAATTTGACAGATCATAAGCCATGAAAAGACAAAAAAAAGGGTTTTAGAATGAAATTTCAACTGCTTACCCTCTTTCTTGTCCATAAACTCAGATTAAGGTTGAATTAATACATGTATATATATATATATTTCAAAAAAACCCAAGAACATATTAATTCAAAACATATTATACAGTGCAATTTGGACAGCCTAATCCCAAAATGTATAACATATATATAAATAAATAACCATAACAGTATAAATTGTAAACATTAAAATATTTTTTCATAGTATATATAATATATAATAATATAATTAAGTCAAAAGTTATTCAATATTGGACTCATTTCGAAGGTATTAACGAGACGATTATCATGGTGTAACTTGTTAAAATAAAAATGTATTCTTTAAACATGTGTAAATTGATATACAATTATGTATGTTAATTTGATAAAAGTTTAAAATGAAACATTTAAAAGTAAATGACGTAAAATAATTAATTAACTAATTATAGGGATATAAAATGTATTTAAAATTATATTTTTTAAAAACCCGGTTGAATGTGAGAGCGTGAGTGTATGTGAGAAGAGGAAGGGGTGAAAAGTGAAAATGGTATCTTGGTCATTTAGTATTTTAAAACTTTAAGACTTTTTCTAAATTTGCTTAATAAGATAATATAAATAATTAAAAACCCAAAAGAAAAACATACAAATTAGGATTTTACTCCGACCACTCCCTTTTGTATTCATAGCCACCAGCAAAGCAAATCGACAAAATGTGTTATGGTTCATCTTCCCATCTCCAGATCTAAGATCCCAACTACAACCATTTATATTTATGGAAGAAATAGATCCCAACTACACCCATTAATTAAGTTTGTACACACATATATATGCAATTCTAGACCTCAAGTTTCATGCAAGAACAGAATAAATCATAGAAACATGAAGAAGGTGTTAATGGTTGTATCGTATGAACTCAAGGCCAAAATGGCAGGATTGTGAAAGATTTTGGTTTAGAACACACGGTCCATAATTTTTGTATAGCCATATGGACGAAATTTGTAATTTAGTCTTTAAAATTAAAATCATTGCAATATGCGTTAGAAGTATAAGAACACATGGTATTTTTCTGACAATTTAAATAAAAAACATTATAATTTCTAGAGTAAATTACGTTTTTTGTCCACATGGTTTGTTGAAAATTGTAACTTTCTTTTTTATAGTTTCAAAACTATGGTTTGCAATTTATAGTTATTTTTGTTACCCAGACTAACCCTACCTTTAAGCATGAGGGACGAAATTAGGATAGATTTATAAACCACAGGGACAAAAATATCAATAATATGTATGTCATAGGGACAAAATCAATAATAAAAATAAGTATAAAAAACCGTAAATTCAAAAGCAAAGGAATAAAAATAGTAATTATTAACAAACCATATGGACGAATAACGTAATTTACCATGTTTTTTTTAATGGAAAATGGAACAAATAGAAATATCCCTTTTGAGGCCAACCAAAATTACCTTTTAGCCATTTATCTTGTAAAAAATTCACCACTTTTGTAAGTAATCATTCGCGAAAGGGACATTGATAAGTTTTTAAAAAGATGAACCACTTCACATGTTGATTTAAGAAGTTGTTTTGACAATAAATTTGTTTTATTTTATAAATGGATGAATGGTGGTGATTTAAAAAAAAAAAAAAGAGTTATGAGATAAGTTTGATGGGATTAAATGGCTTTCTGTGGCATTTTGAAATATGATTTAGCATAATATTAAGTAACTTGATATAAGTTATTAATAGGGAATATTAGAAAAATGAGAAGAGTAGGTTGGTAGGTACAAGCATCTGTCTATTGCTTGCTTACGCCAACCCATGTCATGTCATGTCATGTGCATTTGCATTTGCATTATATTAAGTTCAAACTCGTTCTCCTTTTTAATTTATTCATTTGGATCAAGCATCTCTTTCCAGGTCAATGCTGATTATTATATGACCTAATACTAAATATTTTTATCTTTAATACCTAATACCTAATTTTTTTTATACTATTTTATTCATAATCTTTTAATTACATTAAATAACCTAAGAAATTTGAATTACTATTTTTTGTAAATGTAATTACATTTTTCAAGTCATTTTATAAAAATAACTTTTAAATTACAATTATAAAAATATCAAACTAAGTAAGATAAAATTATAATACTCATGTTTATTTATATAAAAATCACAAGTATAAATATATAATAAAAATATATAATGTGTGGATGCATGCACGAATTATATATATATACTAGAAGGGTACTCGCACAATGCAGCGAGATACATCTCGATTTTAATGTTATATTTTATTTTTTGTCTTTGTTGATGTTATAATATGGTTTAATGTGTTTTTAAGAAAACAATAATGATTTTATTTTAGAATAAAAAATAAATTTAAAAATATCATAAAAATTTGAAAAAAAATATCAATATTAATATCAAATCAATTATTTAAAAGCTCTCATTTTTTTATGTAATTTCTTTAATTTATTAATTT